GTATGTCAACATCATACCGGCATCTCATATAAGAGCCTGAGTTCAAGTTCTGCCACCCATGTGGGAGACACTGATGTACTTCCTTGCTGCTTATCCATTTCAGTCTTTTGGGAAAGAAACCAGCAGATGGAAAATCTCTTTTTGTCTCTGTCTCTCCCTGTCTTCCAAATAAATAAATCTTGGAAAAGAAAAAAAGAAAAAGATCTGAGTGAGAAGGGTCCAAAGAGGCCAAGCAGCAGCAGTGGGTAAAGAGAGGAAGATGTGGCAATGACCAGCTGGCGGACGACTATGGCTTGAGAGGTGAGCTATGCATTCATGGATCTTTTGTAACCATGATGAGTTAGTGAAATGCTGAATAGTAGCTCAAAGGGAGGGCTCAGGAATCAGACTTCCTGCTCAAACAGTTACTTGCTGGTTGGTTGGTTTGAAAGGCAGAGTGATGGACAGGGCGGGAGGACAAGTGTGTGGAGAACCAGAGTGTGAGATCTTTCATCTACTATTTCACTCCCCCAATGACTGCAATGCCCAGGGCTGGGCAGACTAAAGCTTGGAGCCAGAAACTCCCACGTGGGTGGCAGGGACCCAGGCATTTGTGTCATCATCCACTGCCTTCCCAGGTGCATTAGCAGAGCAGAGAGCGCCCAGAACTTGAAGGAGTGCGCTGTTGCAGGATAACAGAGGCATAAGCAGCAGCTTAGCACGCGGCATCACACCATCAGGCCCCTGTTCAAGCTGCTTCGTGACATGGGCAAGTTTAATGAAGCTGTTTCTTCCTTTATTAAGTGACCCTACATGGTGTAATTATATCATTACAATTTTATATTTTATAAAAGACTACAGAATTCTATAAACTTACCTTGTCAACTACGATTCTTTCACTTTTATATAATTAGAAACTCAAATTGTAAAAAATGAAATTTAACATCTCAGATTTTAATTGAATAAATGTAGAAAAAGACTTTAACCTTAAGGGAGCTGTGGGATAGCACATTAGGCTCCTCCTACAGCTGCAGCTCAAGTCCAGGCTGGTCCACCTCCAGCCCGGCTCCCTCCTAAAGCCTCGGTAGAGGCAGCGAAAACTGATGACGTTCTCTGCCTCCTTTCTCTCTCTCTCCCTCTCTAATTCTGCCTTTCAAAGCAATAATTCTTAAAAAGAGTAGAAGAAAAGAAATTCAACCCTGTTCTTTAAAAGAGAGAATTAAAACCTAATTAGAAAGACTCATGGGAAAACAATTCTCTCTCTTTCAAAATACACCTTAGGGTTAAATCATGTAACACGAATACATAAGCACTATAGTAATTATATTTTAAAATATCCCCACACTTAGGGAATTTAAGTTGGAGGTCAAAATATTTCTTCTCCAGATTCTTACTTAAATTTAACCCTACGATGAGTTTACCTAATTATACCATTCATTGTCCCTAAGGCTACATCTTAGACAGGAAAGCACAGAAATACACAGAATTGTTCAATTCCTATCTTAACTGTTTCTATCATTTTATTTTTAACCTTAAATCCCTTCATCTCCAAAACTATGAAAATAGCAATCTATTTTAAAATAATTTTAGTTCATTAATATAAGAATTAAGTAAAATGAAAATGCAATAAAAAGAAAATATCAGTAGGAAGAATTTACAATATTTAAAATAAGAAAACTCTCCATCACTTTATCTGGTGTTCTTTAAGGTAGACGCAAGGTAAAAGGAGAACAGTCTAAAAGCTGCTTATGCGTCTGTTATAAATGTAGCAGAAATCATAGGACTTCTTCTTGAATGAATTACTCCCCGTTCACAGTTTCAGCTCCTCTAAATCAGCCATGGAAGACGAGGACTAGCTGGTAGATCTCAGACCGTCTCCCCCTGACTTGGGCAGACTGTCACCAAGACACTGAAAACCAGCAGAAACACGTGGCTACGCCAGCTGCAAACCTGAAATCATCCCCCTTTCCCAAGTGCAACCTGTTCCAATAAGTTCTGTTCATTGCACCTCAAAGTGTGTTCCCTGCTCTCCACTGTTCTAACTAGTTGGCTTGATCTAAAGCACCATCAGATATCATAAAGTCAGTGCTGGAAGTTTCCAGATTGTTCTATTCAATCCACTCCTCACTGTCCTGCTCGAAGGCTTCCATTGCATTCTACTATTCTAAGAATGAAAACCAACTCTTGGATGATCTCTCACTGACAATTTCTCTCATCTCTTTTCACGCACAGGACCCCCACACTCACCCGTTAAATTCCCACCATGCTAGCCTCCTCTCTAGTTCCTCGAGGCTCTCACTCTGGCAGCTATCCGCTGCTCTGATGGACTGGTCACTGCCCACACTCGGGCGGTTACTTCTTCATCCCCTCGGCCATCACCCCCACAACCAGCCTCTCCTAGAGCTCGCCACTCACACCGGGTCACCTTGTTATTTATGACTCTTCTTTGCCATTCCCAAAGTCCTCTTCACAAACTACAGGTATTTTTTTTTTATTCCTTCTTTTTTTTTTCTTTTCTCATGTAATGTCTACTTACCTCTCTGGACTAAAGCTCCCTTTTAGTCACCTCTATTTTGCCAGTGCTTTCAACAATGCCTGCCCCATGCAAAATAGTAGATATTTCTGAACCAGTAAGAATGCCATTACTGCTAAATGCTCACCTTGGGACACAATATTGCTTTTGTACAAAATTAAGCTGTGGCTAAGTGAAAGGTGAATAACCAAGTGACTGAGATTTTTGTCATGGTTTTATGGCTAGGAAGTAACCACTTGCAGATGCAAGGCAGAAGAGAAGTCCTAGCCAGAAACTCTGGCTATGCTAACATCCTAAACCAACTTTCTCGCTTTTTTTCCCTAAAACCCAGTCCTCTGAGTTTCTGACTTTACTCCAGCCTCAATCACATCACTACAAGTACTTCTTCTTTATTTCTCATAGTCCTCACCTTAATCCAGGCCACTTATATTTTTTTGTAATTCTTTCAAAGTTAGTATAGATCAAGGTCTATGATGACCCTAATAAACAGCTGCTTGTTGATGAGCAAGAGAAATGGAAAAAAATATCATTCAACAAAAGGATTTTTTGGTGTATATTCCTTAGTACACATTTTACACATTTTCTTAATCCTTAGTCTTATGAATTAATTTTAATTACATTAGAAGCTTATTAAAACCATATTGGTTATAACTCAGCCATATCTTATAGTTTCCAATGACACATTTGATTATTTGTATAAATCTGACAAATTTATAGGAATATTAAGATGCTTTATACAGGCTTATGAAATTAAGGTTTTTGGTTATCTAATCTCTTTTATTGTAAAACAAAGAGCAAAAGGTATTTTGCAAAACAACATGGAGACCACTAAAGATCAGTCATTCCCTATGTTACACTTTTTTTATTCTAGCTTTCTGAGTCCATTTGCTCTCTGTGTACCAGGTTTACCTGGCTCAACAAGGATGCAGCCTACTCAATATCTTTGGCTTTGAATCTAACTTGCTTGTTTGCATCGACTGCAGTCATGATACCTAAACACCCACCAGTATTGATTAACTGGCACCTCACAGGTGTCATTCTAACAAGCTGAGGTCTTCTAAGTCACAGACATCGAGTGTGAAAATCAATGAGGTCTGTGTAGGTTCAATTCCTTGGAAATTATGACATGTATTTTGGAAAAATAGATATGAAAAAGTTTTATTCACTTGTGAATCATGTGATGTCAAAACAAACATGAGCATCTCAATCCACTGTTGTAACCATTTAAGAAAATCAAATGGCCTGCACAGAAACATGAGCACCTCACAGGAAGACATATATCCCTGATTCAAAGGCAGTGACTGGAGCCAGGCTACATAATAAAACATGAAGGAATTCTAATGATTTTAAGCAAGTGTAAATCCATGAAAAACTATGAAAAAATTAAAAGCCAAACAGAAAGCCAAAGCAAAGTGTACAAATCTCCCCCGTTAGCAATCTTGATCAGCACATAATCTGCTTGACCCCAGTGGTTGCTAAGTTTCTGTTTTCTTCATTTAGGCTTTAAAATAAAATAGCATTGTGCACAAAGGTGCAAATGAAAAACATTTCATTTATTAAATATTGAGTATAATAAATTAACCAACATGGAAGCAACCGAAATGCCCATCAGCAGAAGATTGGATAAGAAAGCTTTGGTTCACCTACTCCATGGAATACTACTCAGCTATTTAAAAAAACAAAATGCAGTTCTTTGTGGCTAAATGGGCCCAACTGGAAACTATAATGCTAAGGGAAATGAACGAATCCCAAAAGGTTAGACACCACATGTTTGCCTTGATTTAACCTGTGATTTTTGTTTGTTTGTTTATTTGTTTGTTTTTGACCCTGTCATTGATACTGTCTCAACCCATGTGTTTGAAAGAATTGAACTAGCATTATTTTTAACATATTGTTTACTCAATACCATGTCAATTAATTCCATAACATTGTAAAAAAAAATAATCCAAAAGAATTAACCAATAAATATTAAATAGACTGTGATAGCAGATCAAACACTTTTGTTCACAGCAGGAAAAGCAATTTTAAGCTCATTTAGCAAACAATAAAATAAGTACATACAAAATTCAAGCTGCTGTGGCTTTAATTCAGTCTTCATTGGCTGATTCCTCAGAAGTCACTACAGGGTCTTTATATAAAGATTGTATTTTGATTCCATTATTGATGTTGTATAAACAGAGACTGATATATTAATACGGATTTTAGTCAACAGAATACCAAATAAGATACCCATGACTTTCTAAGAATAATTAAGATTTTTTACATTACTAGAAAGCTAACCAGATTAAAGTGTTTATATTGAGAAAATGACTAAAGAAATCTTTACATCTCATCTCCTTAAATATCTTCATTGTTATTAAAAAATACATAATATTTCCTCCAATCAACTATTAGGTGTAATAATCAATCAACAAAACCCTAAAAGTTTCTACCAACCACATGATATGGGGGAAATGGAAAATTCAAATCTTAATTCATACCAACTTACTCTAATTTTTGGCAAGACTCTCCGAAGTGTCTCAGCAGGATTTTGTCGCATCAAAAATGGAAGATTTGCAATCACACTTGTTCCCTGGATGTCTTGACCAGCACTTTACAAAGAAAACACAAACTTATAAGTATGATTTCTCAGCTTATGATAATAGCTGCTCTTAATAACTTCTTACAAAGTCTTAAGAACATCCCTGAAGTATTTTAAAATTTCAAAGCTGAAATTTCATTAAGTAAATCTTATAACAAATGCATCAAGGTAATTATGCTTGTGGTAAAACAATGCTCATTTTAAATACATGTTTAAGTCTAAAAGTCTTGAGATAAACAAACACTTTTAAATTGTATCCTTCTTTTGCCTATAACCTACCAATTTGCTGTGGCTTATGAAAAATAAATAATGCACTGCAATAAAACACTGCAATAAAACAAGCATGGCAATAATAGAACAGCAATAAAGTCAACCACAACAGATTACACAGCAACGTCAGTTTGGTTCAGTGAGAGCACTGCTGTTCTCGCTGACTGCATGACTTGTCAGACCTCTACAAACTCAACACTCTTACACGGCATAGGGTACATTTATACAATTTTTTTCTTTTGACAAACCATTCATTAAGGTTTTCCCAAAACAATCTCTGTCGTACTAAAGCAGTGTAAATATCTTGGGAAAAGTATATTCCTTTGAGAAATGATTTCTATGATCCACAAAAAAGTGTTTGTTTTTAAGATAAGTTCTGTAAACATTTGACATATATCTCAAAAACATGCTAGTGAGTGAGTGACGCCAAAGGAAAGTTAGACCCATTATTAATTGATATCAACTTACACACTGACTGCTGACAATATATTTACTCATTTACTTGGTCTAAATCATTTTACTTATCTCTTCAGATGTACAACCATTTGTAGTTACATATACATAAAACTTTATTATATATATTTTAAAATAATATATTTTTGCCTCAAAGTTTTCAAGTTCAGTTAATAAGAAGCATATTCTGAGGTCAGCCCTGGAGTGTAGAAGGTCAAGCCACCACCTGCAATTCAGACATCACATATCAACACAGGTTTGAATCCTGGCTCTGTGTGTGTGTGTGTGTGTGTGTGTGTGTGTGTGTGTGTGTACTCCAACTCTAAAAGAAGCTGTCTTGCAGAGAAGAAAGGCTTCCTCTAGGCCTGGCATGGTATCCTAGTGGCTAAATCTTGGCCTTTCATGCCCCGAAATCCCATACAAGTGCCAGTTCATGATCCAGATACTCCACTTCCCATCCAGCTCTCTGCTTGTGGCATGGGAAAGAAGTCAAGAACAACCCAAAGGTTTTGGGCCCAGCGGCGTGGCCTAGCAGCTAAAGTCCTTGCCTTGAACGTGCCAGGATCCCATATGGGCACTGGTTCTAATCCCGGCAGCTCCACTTCTCATCCAGCTCCCTGCGTGTGGCCTGGGAAAGCAGTCGAGGACAGCCCAAAGCTTTGGGACCTTGCACCCATGTGTGGGAGACCCAGAAGAAGTTCCTGGACCCTGGCTTCGGATCGGCATAACATTGGCTGTTGCACTCACTTGGGGAGTGAATCATCAGATGGAAGATCTTCCTCTGTGTCTCTCCTCCTCTTTGTATATCTGACTTTCCAATAAATAAATAAAAATCTTAAAAAAAAAAAAAAAAAAAACCAAAGCCTTGGGACCCAACACCCATGTGGGAGAACCAGAAGAAGCTCCTGGCTCCTGGTCCATATAAATTCAGCTCTGGCCATTGCGGCCACTTGGGGAGTGAACCAGCGTACGGAAGATCTCTCTGTCTTTCCTACTCTCTTTCCAATAAAAATTTTAAAAATTTAAAAACTTCTTTGTTATTGAGTGCAGCAGGCTGTGAAACATAACACCATAACCATTTCACTGTGTCCACCATTCCAAGTGAATTATTTGAAGAGAAAAACCAGAATGAAAGAGAAGGACATGTTATAGGGCACTATGTCAAAAGGGAAGAAAATCACAAAGGAAATTAAAGCTAAAAACAAAAATACAACCTGTGGGGGTGGAATGGTGGCCCATAAGAGATGTGTACATCCTAATCCTGGAACCTGGAGGAAAATGGTCTTAACTGTAAAAAGAATGTCACGATGTAGAGGTCATTCTGGGTTAGCCAAGCAGGCCTCAAATCCAGTAACGAGTGTCCTCAAAGCAAACACTGGGAGAAGACAGAAGAGGAGAAGAAGGTTGGGCACACCTGAAGAGATATGAGCCAAGTGGCCCCAGGCCAAGGGAAGCTGGGATTATCCTCCAAGGCTCTGCTGGCGTCTCCACGTCAGACTCTGGTGGCCAGAACTGTGAGAGTGAATTTTTGTTGTTTGAAGCTGCCTACTGCAGCCCAAAATAAATAAATATACTAGGAGAACATTGACAGAAAAGAGAATTATCTGAAAAAGCTTAATATGACACATCTAGCCCAGAGGGGAGGTTCAGTAATATCTCTGGAAAGAACTGAAGAATAAATGGCTAGCTGGAAGAATGTATGTCAAGAGTATGTAATACCAAACATTTATTCTCTGAATCTTACTAACATACAACCAGAAAAAAGAAAGAACATGATCTTAAATATCTCATAGACATGTAGACAAAACATTTCAGAGGAAAGCAATAAAAAACAAAGGAATATAAAACATAAACTGCCAGATTTTAGTCATAAAATGCTAACAATTACATTCAGTACAAATAGCCTAAGAACATTAACTAAAAGGAAAGATGAGTAGAATGGATTTTTAAAAAGGATAAATCAATTACATACAGCCTAGAAGCTGACCTCAAATTCATATCCTCAGGGTGAGAGTGAAAAATGGAAAATGATACATCATGGAAAAAGTGAGTCAAAAGGAAGCAGGAGCGGCCATGCCAACATCAGATACAGTAAAGCTCAGAGAAAAGAACATCTACACAAATAGAACATCACATAATGATACAAGGGGCGGTCACCCAAAGAAGTAACCATTTTCAATGCACAGACACCAAACAGGATTGCAACCAGTCTGAAGCCCAAATGATAGAACTGAAAGGAGAAACAAGGAGAACCAGATGGAGATTTTAACATCACTCTCTTAACAATTTTCACAATAACTTCAAAGAAAAACTCAACAAGAACATTCAAGGGTCCTTTAAAAAATTTCAGAGGAAATGAAATGAAGATAAATTTGTGGTATAAAAAACTTGCCGTAAGTCCATGCATGTAAGGAGTCTTCAAAAGGTGAGAAAAGTGAGCATTAATAAAGACCAAAGATACGCACAGATTTCAAATGTTTTGAGTGCCAGAATAAACATCCTATAATTCAATTTTCCATGTACTTTTTAAAAATGTTCTTAGTTTAGGACTCGCCAGTATCCTCATTCACCAAGATAAAATAGACATTTCTGAAATACCAACAACAGCAGAGTACACATTCCATTAAAATACCCAAAGAACACTTACAAAGAAAATCCATATTGTTCCATAAACTTCAACAAATTTCTAGAAGCTGAATTTATGCAAAGATAGTTCTCCAACTGTATGGTATCAAACCAGAAATCAACAAGAAAGGTAACAGAAACTCATGAAAACTAAACCACACAATTTGATATTCTCCAAAGAAGGTCAAAGAAAAAGTCTCAACAAATTTTTAAAGACAGTGAGCTGAACTGTCAACAGGAATCTGTGTTCACAGTAAGTGCAGGGCAGAGGGGCAATGACGCATATGGAAGAACAGAGTGACGGCAGTAAGCCATCCGATCATGAACAGAGCCAGGACTGGTGCAGTGCTCCTCTTCCTTCCTCCTGGGTCCCTCTGCTTTTCCCAGAGCTCCCAATGGGGGCCTGTGGGGATGGAGCATCCGGAGGTTACAACCTCTGGGGTCTGCAGGAGTCACTAGGAAGGGCCCAGGAAAGAATTTATCATTTTCAATGGAAAACAAGTGGAGATTGGTAATGACAATGACTTTCTACCTTGAATCTGGATTTGCCACACCTTTCTTCAGCTGACACAGCTGCTTCAGGAGTAAGGACCTTTTAGTTCATCCACTTTACAGGTAACACACAGCATTTCAAGCGATGTAGTGTCTTTGAAAAAGGGACCAAATCCAACAACTCATGCCATATTAGACATACCTGTAAATAAATTTATGACACGAAAAAAAGAGAAAAATCCCAAACCAATAATATAACCGTCCACTTCAAAAACCTAGAAAAATAATCATAAGACAAGCTGGAGGAAGTGTAACACAGTGATATATAAAAGGAATAGTTACGCACCATGATCAATTAAGGTTTATACCAAGGTTGCAAGGCCTCTTCATTAGTCAAAGTGAATAAAACCCATTATCATACCAAACTAAAGGAATTAAAGGTCATGTGATCATATCAATGCAGAAAAAAATCAGACAAAATTCAATATGGACAGTAAACTTAAAATTCACTATCACAAGCACTCAAAAATATTAAAATATGTAAAAGACTTGCGGGCTAATAATTATACAACAGTGATAAAAGAAATCTAAACAATGAGAAAGACTTGCTATGTTCATTGGTCGGGCAATTCAACACAATGAATATGTCAATCCAAAATGGTTTATAGCTTTAACACAATCCTATCAAAATCCCAACAAGAATTTTGGGAGATTCAGGTAATATTTTTCTATAATTAGTATGGTAAATCAAAGAATGATAATACATGTAACAACTTTGAAAAAGAAGAATGAAGTGGAGGAATCCATTAACTCAATTTAAAGATTTATTCTACAGTTACAGTATTCAAAACTGCATAGTATTGGTGGGCAGAGAAAGACACAAATCAGCCAAACACAAGAGAGCCTGGAAATAGAATTCCCAAAATGATGCCCAACTTATTTTTGCTTGGCAAAGGTAGAAAGGCATTTCAATGCAGAAAGAGAGTATTTATGGCAAAGGATGTTGCAGCAACTGAATACCCATTGGCAAAAAAAAAAAAAGAAGAAGAAGAAGAAAAAGAAAAAGAAAAAGGAAGGAAGGAAGGAAGGAAGGAAGGAAAGAAAAAGAAAGAAAGAAAGAAAGAAAGAAAGAAAGAAAGAAAGAAAGAAAGAAAGAAAGAAAGAAAGAAA